ATGAGTGGAGGATGAACGTTATGGCGGACCCACATAGTGTATCTGGGTTCCCCTAAACGCGAGGAAGCTACCTTCCTTTTGCTTCCTCGCGCGACGTCTTTTATCTAGAGCCAACTATAGTTGTTCAGTTATTCTTAGTATTGATTATTCATTTCGAGACATATCCATCTCTATGTATACGTGAGACCCTCACACCCGAATCAAAAGCTATTGGGAGTATCGCTTCATTTCCAGAACGTGTCGCGGCATGAAACCGAGTCCCGGTAGTTCTAAAGTGCTGGTATCTTGTCTGGGGTTTCAGCTAAGTGCAGCCTTGTTGAGTGTGAAGACGCACCTTGGAGAAAACACCCAACTCTGGGGTCGGCGGGATAATCTTTGACAAATCCTCTGGTCGGTTTTGATTGGATTCTGGGAATTAATGCATTGGCCCTGGAAACGCCAACAGCAATCCTAGGAGCTGTGTATTCATTGGGAGCCCCAACTTAGCTCTTCGGGCCCTTCATATTCTCGAGGAACCAAAAATTATTCCTGGGACCTGCAGTCCAGTTCCTGAATGAATAAGAAATGGCTTTGGGAACATATCGGCTGGATCTAGGAGCTTTTGCACTCCTGGGGCCGTACCTCTGGGTTGTAGAGTCAATCCTATGCCTCCGAGGGTCAAAAAACATCCTTACTAAACACCTTCACCAGAGCTGCGCACAAATCTGAGGCATTCGATCATTCCCAGAAGGTCAATTCATACTACCAGGAACTACGCCTAAGTTTCCAGGAGTTAATGAAGCTATCAACAGGAACGCGGCTTTGGTTCGACGAGGAAAGAAGGCCTCGGAAGTTACGTCGGGTTTCCTTGGGACTATTTCGCTCTTAGAATCAGCTTCTGTGCTCTCAGGAACTGCATCAGAGCCTCCAGGGGCAAGGGAACTCCCAGGACTAATATGGGGGTTCCCATAGGCCGATACAGCCGCCAACAGGAATATCAATGGATCAATAACGTCCTACAGGCTTCGTACAATTTCCTGGCCATGTAATTCCTGGATGCCTCACATGTTTCCAAAGTCAGCTTTGTAAAGTCCCTACACATACAACGGTTGGTGAAAATTTATACACAAGTGATCGACAGCCAACATGTCTTTTGCACCAAGTAACTGCAGGATGAGAGTTAACGTGAGGACACTGCTCTAAAATCGGCCATGATCGGTTGGCAAGTCAGATCAAAAGATGAACACGCATTAAATTCAGTCAATCAATCTAATTCATGAGCGGTCTTAGCAATTCTGTACTAAAATCAATTTCTTTGCATGGCTCCATCCGCCGCATTTCTCAATCGATTTGGATTTCACTCTGCCATCCCCCTTCCCCCCCGCCCCCC